CACTCTCACACTCTCACACTCTCACACTCTCTCTCTCTCTCTCTCTCTCTCTCTCTCTCTCTCTCGAGGCGTTTTTGAGTGTTGTATCAGACGATAGTATGAAAAGCAACTAATAAAACATTTCTTTGACCTGACTACAGTGGTCTATTTATCAGTCCATGTTACAGTGCTTGTTGTATCCTTATAATAATGGATACAGCACTGATGTGCATCCTGGCGATAACATATGAAATGCAGGCTATTCAATAAATAAATAAAGCTTTGAAGTTGCCGGTATAGACGAAAACATCGCGGATGAATTTAGACATTAAAGTTTTTACATTGTAATGTAATGTAGGTCATCGTGTAGATGTGATTTTTTTTGTTTCGCTTATTTTCACGTTACCTTATCTCGCTCCAGACCAGGACGTTTTCAGTCAGATTCAGCTATATGTGCCTGCATCAGGTCAGTAACTAGCTAGTATGTCTGTTTTTCCTATGTGGTGTAGTGTTTTAAATTAATGAAAGTGTTCATCCTTAGTTTAAATGTGCTCTCATCACGTGAAAAGCCTATATATCGTTTTGTTGTGTTTGATTTATGTTTGTTTTGAGATGAGACATGAGATTCATTTCCTCGCTTAAATTCCTCTACAATTTGTAACATTCTTAATGCACATTCGGAGACAATATTAAGGCAATAATTCAATAGCATTCTATGTGTGTGTACTTCGAGCCTGTCAATCAACATTAGCGTGCCGCCCACAGGCTGAATAACGCAAGGACATTAGATCTCTGCCAAAACTATACTTCTTTTGAGTTTATTATAACTAGCGCTAGGACCCAGAATCTGCCCCACCTAAATTAACGGTCAGGAGCCGCTACTGTGGGCAGCGCTGTGTCATATGCCATAGCTGTGCACAAGGTGTTTTGAGTCTCAGCTCCAGGTTCAGGCTTATTTGTTCATTAATGACGTCATCAGCAGCTAGTCGACGTCGACTTGACTTTCATCACATATAAATCGACTTAAAATATCAGAAGTCGTTCAACCCCTAGTAGCTATACTAAGTCAAGAGTAAACCTAAAGTAAATGATCAAGTACAAGTACTTCCTATAGTTCTTTTTAGTAAGAACTCTTGTCTAAGTGAACTATACTAACTAAGCATTTGTCAGGACAACATACTATTCCTATTTCACTTAGTTTTTTTTAAGGCAATCAGTTTGCATGTTTTTTTTGTTTTGTTTTTGTTTTTTTAAGACTAACTACACTAGTCAATATTTGAAGTGGGTCAAAACCTTTCATCAAAGTTGTCCTAAAACCAAAACTTGTCTTGGGACACAACTTTGATGAACTTTTTTGATCCACTTCAAATGTTGACTATTGTAATTAGATTTTACAGTGTATAATGCAGAGATTTTTGCCCGATTTGCAGTCCGGGTGAATCACCAGTTCAGGGCCAGTCTGCAACTTCAGTCAGAATAGACAGATTTCATAAAAAACCACAGTGTATGAAGGGCACAGATAGATTTTTTTGTCTCGTTTTTTTAGACTAGTTCCATCCAATCCAGAGGATATCAAAACATGTTTGGTATTTTGACCCGGTTTAAGAACACATTATTTCCGTCATGCATCTCCTAGTATCGAGGCACATGTTTCTGTGTGAGTTTGTTTTCTGAATGACTTGAAATGCTTGCTAGTGTTTGATCCTCAGCTGTTTAGTGTATGACGCTCAGTTTTTCCTCTGTAACAAAGTCGGTGTCAGACTCTGTTCCGTGTTTTGTGGTTGTTTTCCTCATGTGCCTTCCTTTCCCATGTTTAATTTGTCCCAGGTGTTTCCCTTGATTGTTTCATTGCTCCCAGGTGTGTCTCGTCATCCCCTCCTCCTGTGGGTATAAATGGTGTTCCCTGTGTGTGCTCCAGCGTCCGGTATTGTTCAGGTCATGTTCATGTCATGTCTCCATGTATTGCGTGAGTGTTCCGTGTTCCTTTGTGTAAATTAAAACCCAGTTGGATTGATGTACTCCTAGTCTCTCTCCGTTCCTTGCTCCTGACTCTGCTCAGCAGTGCACCCGTGACAGAATACCGGACCGATACCGAAAGTAAGCAGCGCCCCTTCTCCTCGTTTTTCTTTTTCCCTACTATCATTAATTACCCTCATTGTGCTCACCTGTCTGCCACTAATTATCCACCATATATTAGTTCCTGTCTGTCAGAGCTTTAGTGTCGGTTATTGTTAATGTTACCCCGAGTGTGTGTCTCACCTACCTGAACCTGCCTTGTTGTGTCTACAATAAACGTCATTATTGGAATCCTTATCGTCCTTGTCGTCCTGCCTGCCTCCACACATCTGGACCGTGACAGAATAACCGACCAAAAACAACAAGATGGAGATTGCTGCTCGTTTCCTCGCCATATCCCGCCGGGATCTCCTCTTCTACGAGTACGCCGGGGAGTTCTGCAAGCTCGCAGCGGTGACGGCGTTAGAGGATGCCGTCCTTAATCAGCTGTTCTGGCTCGGGGCCAACTACCATCACCCCGTGGACCTCCCAGACACCACGGGACTAACTTGGAGGGAAGCAGTTTTCCGGTGTCTGGGGAGTGTCCGGTCCCTTGCCAGGACCAGTCCGCCGCCGTCCGCGGCTTCCCCAAGTCAGCCGGCAGTTAATGTGGCAAGCCCGAAGGACGTTAGTGTGGCATTCCAGAGGGGGGCGTTATGTCAGACTCTGTTCCGTGTTTTGTGGTTGTTTTCCTCATGTGCCTTCCTTTCCCATGTTTAATTTGTCCCAGGTGTTTCCCTTGATTGTTTCATTGCTCCCAGGTGTGTCTCGTCATCCCCTCCTCCTGTGGGTATAAATGGTGTTCCCTGTGTGTGCTCCAGCGTCCGGTATTGTTCAGGTCATGTTCATGTCATGTCTCCATGTATTGCGTGAGTGTTCCGTGTTCCTTTGTGTAAATTAAAACCCAGTTGGATTGATGTACTCCTCGTCTCTCTCCGTTCCTTGCTCCTGACTCTGCTCAGCAGTGCACCCGTGACAGTCGGCAAGTGTATGATGACTAGTGTTTTAAAATCTGTAGCAAATTTTGGAATTATGGGATTTTGAAATCTGATTATCACATTTTTTGACAATTTAACATAATATTAACATAAATTATTTAACATCATTTATGTTTTTGTTGTTGTTTTAGAAATATGAATAAGCTTCCATTCTATGTGCAATTTTATGATTTCAGATGTCAGAAAATGCCAGAACTGGAGTTGCTCACCTCCTCTTCTGCAGCATCTGCAGTCTGTGATTCAGTCTTGTGTTTTCATCTTGCAGCGCATGACATTGTTCCTTCAGATTGTTACATTCATCCATCAACAGACCCACTTCACCTAATCAAGTAATGCAAGAAATTAGAAAGCTATGACATTTACATGAATATTAACCATATTAAAGTGTATGTCTGTACAAGACACTTCTGATTAAAGCAACTTACAATAAATTGTACATATCCTGAAATAAATATGTTGGTTTTGCTTAAAAAACGTTCCCTATGCACAGCCATCTCTCAAGATTTATATTGTACCATTCCTCACCCCTTTCTTGGCCTTTCATTGCCAGGAATGATCATTATAACCAGTGGGATGCATGCAGTCATCCTCGCTCTCAAAAGTTTACTGCATCTTCACATAACATTGACAATTACCCACACCATCAGCTATTCTCCAGGAGCTCTTCCCACTGGACACTGTGTGCTGCAAACTTTTCCGAAATGCTTCAGGGCTCCACCCTTTATTAAAACTAGTGTGATTTATGGTCATCACTGCAGGACGCTAACCAGCTTTACAAATTGAGCGATTCCATCATGCATTGATTTTAAAATGACGTCAACATGGTCATTGGTGGATGTTTCAGACATAGTCTAAATAAAAACATCAACATATCTGACAGAAAATTTACAGTAAGTTGAATTTATTGTGCAATCTGAATCAAAGTTTGAGATGATCAGAAGTTCATATTAGAAAATAACATTGTATCCATTAATCCTCTATTTTAGCTTTTGAGACCAGGGTTTAAAAAAATATATGAAATATGGAGAGTGTGAATTCCACATGAATTGTAATTTATTATTGCCCTGTCAGGTTTCATAAACTGGCCGAGAGCAGCTGGCTGAAAGGAGAGCAGAACATTATTGCTTTAAGTAATAAAATATAATATTATTATTTAAACCTAGTGTTAACACTTTAAGGACCAATTCTCACTATTAACTAGTTGCTTATTAGCATGCATATTACTAGCATATTAGCTGTACTTATAAAGCACATATTAATGTTTTATTCTGCATGACCATATCTTAGATCCCTTAATCCGACTCCATACCTACACATCTTACTAACTATTAATAAGCAGCAAATTAGGAGTTTACTGAGGCAAAAGTCGTAGTTAATAGTTAGTTAATAGTGAGAATTGGTCCCCAAACTAAAGTGTGACCAAACTGGTTAAGTGGCATATCTAGTTTTCCACTGGGGATTGTTATAGTTTTTAATTGAATATTGAATACATGTCTACAAAGGTGGAAAAAAAACTTTGCAATGCACCTGCGTAGTTGTTTTTGGATTGAATTTATGACTGTGATATGTATGTGCTGTACACTGTTATAGATTTCGGAGGTCAAAACTCAACTTTTATGTTGATTGTTGCATTGAAAATGTTCAGCCAATGTTAAAACATTCAGTTCACAGAATTGAGTAAACTAAGAGTCAACACAACATTTTGAGTTTAGACCACCAAAATCTTTTACAGTGTACCTGCTTTTAAATATTTGTTTTTATTTATCTACTATTTATATATACTATTTATACTATTTCCATTTATCATCAGTGTAAATTGTGATTGTTTATTGTATGTTATGTATTAACAGAACGTATTTTAAAATGAATAATTACATTTTTAATACACATTTGTTCGTAATGTTATTGTTTTTGTCACCTTGAATCAGTTCAATTGTAAAACTAACCATAGTTTTAGGTATAATTCCTCATGTTTAATAACTTATACTGTAATAATGTTGATAATGTTCACAATTGTTTATGTTAGCTCTAGATATCAAAGTAAATGTCTCAGAGCTCTTTCAGTGTGTTTCTGTTCTCACCCTCCTTCCTCTGCTGCAGACGGCTCTGGCTCTTCATCTCTATTTCCGCTCGGAGCGTGACAATCTCCAGCTCGTACTCCTGTCCCGTGTTCTCCAGTCGTGAGGTTTCGGCCCGTAAGCGGCAGAGCTCCTCCTGCAGACTGGCGATGTCGTTCTCTCTTTCGGCCGCGGCCTCCTCCGCCGCCTGCTGCTGCAGCAGCACCTCCTCCTGCGCCGCCCGCACCTCCTCCTGCGCCTCCAGGAGCTCGCTCTCCTTCTCCTCCTCCAGACTGTCCATCTCCTCCTGGACAGAGCGAAGCTGTGCTACAGGGGTCGGGAGATCATAAGAAATTAGGGGTGTAACGGTACACGTATTCATGCTGAAAATTTTCGGTATGGGTCTTTCAGTTCGGTACGCATGTGTACCAAACAAATCGTTCCAATTTTTTTTTTCTGGAAATTCAGACAATAAAACCCGTTTTGACACTCTTTGTGGCGTGACATCAAAGAGTATAATAACGTCTCAGATCAAACGCCTGTGGGAGTGAGTGCAATCATCCCTTCCTCTTTACTACTAGTTATAGCACAAAATAAACATGAATGAACATCTCATGCCTCATGTAATCGCTCAATCAGTGTTTCAACTGTGGAAAGACGTCATTAAAACAGCTTATAAACAAAATGACACGTACAGTAGCATCTCATTTACCTCAGTCATCAATGTCTACAGCTCGTCAGTTCACCAGAGAAATGAAGTCTAGTGAAGAGCATTTTGTGAAATATTAGACTATATACTCATTATATTTTACTTCACCTGTTAGTGATGTCTTATGTAATGTATATGTTTAAATAAATATTTTATGAAACAAATTATGACTCTGTAAATTATTATATTTCAACAACAAATAGAAATTGAATTATTTAGAAGTTAATGTAAAAACAATTTACATGTTTGCATGCAATTTTTTAATTTGAGTGTTATTATAGTTATTAAATTTGGGCTCTGTTGTTAACTGTAAGCTTACAGTAATGTAAAAGGGCTCCCTATAGTTTAGAGCAGAAGCTGATGTAGATTTTTATCCCTAAGAAAATTTTAATTATCACATCATTTATGACATCAAAACCGAGGAACGTACCAAACAGTCATGTTTGTGTACCGTTACACCCCTATAAGAAATGCATGACTTTTTTTGTATGACAAGCATGGAAAGTTCACTTCCCTCCTTCCCAGTATTTTGAAAGAAAAGTTTACTCCTCACAAATAATAATTGCTGTTAATAGTGTTCATCGTCTGTTTGATTACGTCTTTAATTGATTTTTCCGTACATTTCTGCCATATGTACATTAACTGACAGTCACCACTGATAAGCTACTACTAAATATTGTAGAAACTTAATTTTCTGTAAAGTTGATATGCAACGATTTGTATAGTGAAAAGGGCTATACAAATAAACTTGACTTGAATTGAAATGAAATGAAATAGACAGCATATGCTTTGTTATTTTCTCATCTAATCTAATGATAATCATCACATCATCTTGGGTTTGAGTATTCAGAACGTAGAGTCGTTGTTACCTTGCAGACGCTGGATCTGTCTCGTGAAGGCCTCGGCCTGATGAGCACTAGCTAAACGCTCCTCCTCAAGAAGACCTGGATAGAGATTGAGAAAAACATTTGAAATAGCTGAAATATTTAGCTTTAATGTAGAACATTTTAACAACACAATTATGTATAACAAGCTACATCGCACAAGCAAGAGCGTTGTTTTATCTAATATCATCACAGATAAACAATCAAAAGTGGGCCTATGATATAATTTATTTCTGCTCTCACAATGACAGTTAGTTTGAATTAAGCTAAATCAGAACCTCTCTTTACATGTTGCCAAATGAAGTGTTGCAGTGACATACAGTGATAGTTAAACTGCACTCTTGGGACACTTCTTGACCAATGAAATTAGACGACCAGAACAATTGTTGTATGGCTGTATTTTGTACCCAAACCAGGGCAGGGCTTGATATAGGCCAGTCTTCAGCATTACTCTATATATTGCCAATTTTTGTGGCCATAGAACTGGAAATAACGGCAGGTATTTTACACAACAATGCACTAAAAACCCCTACTTATCAGAGGCAGAGAATGAGCCCCCACTTATAAAATGTTTGTCCCTGGTCCTGTGAATTTTAGCAGCGACCTTGACCTGATGAATGTAGTTCAAGGTAAAGCTCTTGTTCACTTGCAATTATTTGCCTCAAAGAAAATGATTAAATAACTTTAAAATAATTGATGCAACAAATATTGTAAACATTGGCAAGCTTGCCATCACAAAAATGTATATATATATATATATATATATATTTTATTTTATTTTTTTTGTATTTTTTTTTGGTTAATGCAATTAATCTCAAATTTGAATTCACTTCTTAGCCTTTTATTTATTTATTTATTTTATTCAATGCAATGTAATGCATCCAGTCTGAAGGCACAGTTTCTCCCTAAACAGACACAATTATATGTAACAAAGTTTAAAAAAAAAACACACACACCACAGAAAAAAAAGATTCTGTCAAATTCGGTGAATGTCAAAAAGCTTACATTCAATTCATTACTTATTCTTAATGAATTATTCATATGTGATCTTAGGCAGTCCTAATTTATCTATACTGTGTGCAAAACCGAAATCCACATATCCTATATTAAGAAAAATTTGTAACACTTTACAATAAATTTCAATGTTTTTAACATTAGTTAAAATAAACTAACAATGAACAATACTTCTAATGTTTTTTAATGGACCTGAGCTAACATGGAATAGCAATGAACAGTTGTACTTTTATTAACTAACGTTAACAAAGATAACAAATACTGTCATTGTTAGTTAATGCATCAAATATTAAACATAGTTAAAGCTGCAGTCTGTAACTTTTTTTGGTTAAAAATTATCCAAAATCAATATTTGAGCAAGTACATAACCAGCCAGTGTTCAAAACTATCGCCTTACTTTAGCCCGATTCACAACGGTCAGCTTATAATAATGTTTTGCCACACATACTCTTCAGAACATTAGATTCATCTGCTGGAGCCATGCCGATTCACAACCCACGCAAGCTAGATAATTCCTCACACAGCTGCAATTCCAAGTTTTCAAACAGAGATCTTAGATGCAAAGAGGCAAAACTTACGGACTGCAGCTTTAACAAGTGGAACATTTTAGTAAAGTGTTACCAAAATATCTTCTATTTAAAAAAAGAAAAAATATATATACTACATGCTGTACAGAACAAAAAACCTAAAGAGAGAGCAATGACATAACTTAGTCTCCATAACATTTATATCCCGTCTGCAACCCAAGAAGCTGGGATGGGCTCCAGATGAATGACATTTACGTACATGCAAGTGAAAAAATAAAATACTTTAGCAACCCAAAACTCCTCTTTGGATTTCACAGGCTGATTTTATAAACTTCACCCACATTTCGAGCACTGTTTCAGATGGGTGTCTAATTTCTGGGAGTTTATACTGTATCTTCTGTTTCAGACCTGATAATTCAGTGACGTAGTGCACAACTCAAAATACTTGAAAGCTCTTCAGTATGAAAAGCGGGTGAGACTGATCTAATGCTCTGTCTGCGATCAGAAGTGAGCGGGAATAGCCGAGCGCCTCACTGGAGATGATCCAGTTTGGATAAAGGCATCTGCTGCCCAGGACAGCCTGTCTGGAAGCTTCCCTCAGCGCAGCTGTCCTCTCACATGCCTGTCATGTTACACACACACACAGCCCACAGTCACAGCACAGCCAGATCATTACAGAGTCCCAGGAGTCTGTCCGATACAGCAGGTGACTCATTATAAATGCTATATATAGAAACTATTTTACTGGGCCTGTCATTGAGTAAAACGAGCTAAACACGAGGACACACCACATTCAGCTATATCTCTGACAAATAACGCTCTGTAACATCTTTTTTTATGACATCGTGCACCAGGGTTCCTATAAGTGTTAGTCATTTAGCAGTCACTGTTATCTAATGCAAATTTCAGTGCAATTAAACATAGACATTAATACTCAGATTCAGCTATTTTAACAGCACTACCATCTTAGAATGGTTTCAGATCATATAATGTAATGTATACAATGTATATCATGAACTAAATATGCATGTATTCTATAATATATACAATAGTTCATTATTTGAAGTTACTGGTTTGACATTTAATCATTAAATGTGTTATACAAACATTTAACTCAAAACGTTTAAAAAGCCACAAATCTGCTACTTTTTGGCTTGTGACAGAAAAACGTGTCCGTTTCATATGATCAGATAGAGGGCGTCAAGTTAACAACAAAAAAAAACGTTACATTTTATTTTAAGGTGTAATAATTCTACATTTAAGTGCTGAGTATTTACTATATGGTTAGGATTTAGGTTTGGCCTATGGTTACTTGCATGTAATTATGCATAATTTATTGTTATTACAATAGTAAGTACATGTAACATGTGTAACAAGGACACCGTAAAATAAGTGTTACCTAAAAAACTTTCTAGGTGGACCTGCAGGGAAAAATTTTAATAAGCAAGCATGAAATGAGCTCTGTAAGTGTCAGGTCGCTGGTGTGAAAGTGCTATGTTTGTGTGGGAGTCTCACCCTGCAGCTCCAGAAAGCTCTCCTCGTGTTTCTGAGCCGTGTCTCGAGCTTCTTCCAGCTCAAGCAGGAGCTGCAGCACCTGAGCCCTCAGCTCCTCCAGCTCCTTCTCCTCGCCAGCATCATTCAGGACGCTGCGCTCTTTTTCTGTGCTCATGACGCTTTCCTGATGTCACTTCACTCTGTCACCTGAAACAACAACAGTAACAACATTTAATCAGAATGACCAGCTGAACCGATTAAATAAGTACATGTATTTCTATAATAAAAACAATTCAATGAATGTGTGCTTCCTGGTGTGCTTATGTTTATTTACAACAGCATGTAACATTCAATCAGCTCATTCAATCAGATTTTAATTTTAAAATCCCGTTACTTAACAGTCACTTACAGTGAAAGTGAAAGTGAAGTGACATGTAGCCAAGTATGGTGACCCATACTAGGAATTAGTGCTCTGCATTTAACCCATCCAAAGTGCACACACACAGCAGTGAACACACACACACCGTGAACACACACCCGGAGCAGTGGGCAGCCATTTTATGCTGCGGCGCCCGGGGAGCAGTTGGGGGTTCGGTGCCTTGCTCAAGGGCAGCTCAGTCGTGGTATTGAAGGTGGGAGAGAGCGCTGTACATTCACTCCCCCCACCTACAATCCCTGCCGGTACGAGACTCGAACCCACAACCTTTGAGTTACAAGTCCGACTCTTTTATGGCTTAAAAGGTTTGTTTTAGACTTCTAATATTTGAGTATGAAATTAGTATTACTGCTTTAGCATACAAATCTGATTAAAACCCTATGGGGTCCGAGGGTGTTTTGGGGCCCTGGAAAAGTTTTGACATTCCCTGACATTTGTGCTTTTTTCAGTTGCTTACGCTCGGAGGGTTAATAGCTCCATCTTGTGGCGAAGAGGGCCATGCAAAAAAAAACAATGAATTATTGAAAAACAGAATATTGTTTTCTTTTTTTCTTATATGTACTAAATTAGATATTATGAGACAATTTAAGTAAAATATACATATACTGACACATTTTAAAATGATTGTTTGTTTGTTTTTGTAACTTTATGCTTTTAGTCATTTGCTCAGTGATGGTTGATTTTGGTTGTATTCTTCAGAAATCACCATACTTTTTTAAAGGTTTTGGTACGACATGAGCAGTGTTGGGAAGGTTACTTTGGAAATATAATAGCTTACAGATGACAAGTTACCCTATCTAAAATGTAATGAGTTGTGTAGCTATTTCAATTACTTTATTAATGCAATGTAACAGATTACATTTTATTACTTTTTGATTACTTTTTTAAATTTCTAATGTTTTCAACTGTTAATCATTTTGAAACATGTAAAGCAGGCCGGGTTAACCTTACAGTAGAGCTCAACACTGATTACTGTCAGACTTTCAAAATCCTTAATTTAATTTTAAAGCACAGCCAACACAAAATCAGACTTTAGCACATCTTTTTACTTTGTGATCGTTCTGAGGTTAAATACAGATTTAGCCTCTTAACAAGAAATAGTTTAATAGCTATGATACTGTTTTTGAAATCTAATCTTTGCATAGCTATGACATGAAACACTGGCATGTAACAATGGAAAGAAATCAATCAAATCTGTGTGTGTGTGTGTGTGTGTGTGTGTGTGTGTGTGTGTGTGTGTGTGTGTGTGTGTGTGTGTGTGTGTGAATATATTCAAATGTAACCCCCTTTGTAATCGTTAACATATTCATTTTTTCTTAGTCTTTTTTTCTCACATTTATTTTGTAATTACTGTAAATTACGTAACTCCATTACATATAACTAGTTACTCCCCAACACTGGACATGAGGGGGTAAAGGGAAAACAAATTCATCCATCAGCATCTGGAGCTGTGAAAGTGTTGGAGAAAAACTTCTGGAGTGTCAGGAAAAAAAACGAGTGCAGATGGAGAGGAATGAGAAACAAAAAGCGTGCGAGGAAATGGAAGCTGGAGCTGAATGATTGAAAGCTTTAGACAATCCCAGATTCTTTCTTTTCTATCTCTCTTTTTGCTTTTGTTGTTGGAGCTTTTGTAAGTTAAAAAAATAAATCTAAGAAAAGTTATTCCTGTTAACAAAATACCTCAATTTATGAATGCATTGCTCAATGCAATTCAGATTCCAACTCCTGTTTGAATTATGCCTAACTCTCAAATTCATTATGTATATTGTGATATTTAGATGAATTAAAGTAATTAACAGAATTAAAATCTTTCCGTTATTAAGCAGCACTTTCTGCTCATTTCAGCATGCTGAGCTGTAATAAGGATCACATCTCTATAGATGTGCCGTCAGTGTGGGAACATTCTCATGCGTGAAGGGATTAATCTGTCACTGGGATGAGGATGTTTCATTAGAGTTTGATAGAGTGGGGTATAGGAAATTAAGTGTTACGTCAAAGGAAGCGCAGTGTTCGTTCTAAAGAGCGACTTATCCATGATACACAGTGTGTAAGCATTTTCTTTTCTCTATTCTAGTTTACAATTTTCTAGTTTAAACAATTAAACTTATCACAGTATTCTATATTTATACAAAAAAAAAATCCAGCTCCATTTACTAAAGTTTTCATCAAAAAAAAAAATCTGTTAGATGTACAAATGGGAAGTAAGATCATAAAAATGCAATTTTCTCTGTGAAATTGGCTTAAATTTATGAAAGAGCAGAACTATCTTTTTACGCCGCTCCTGACCTTAGTATTACTTTAGCAAACATGTGCCTGGTTATGGTTTGGGGACAAAACAGTCTAAAAAAGGTAGCTAAATCTGACAAATTGCAAAATCATGAAGCATTTACTTCATGAAATCAAGCAAATGCTTTTTATTCTAAAAAATACAACAACAAAAATGTGTGTGTGTCTACTGTTTGTTGATGTCTTGTATCTGTGTAGCGGTGTAGGCGTCCATGAATAATCCATGCAATCCCTCTGTGATTCTGTGAAGCAGCTCCTCATGTTCACAGTAACCCACAGCAGCACATCAAAAACCCTTTGAGCAGAGGACGAGAGCAAGATGAAAGCAGACACAACTCGTTCAGAGGGACAAAATAAAACATAAAATATATTAATAGCATTTAAAGACCATTTTACCAACAACACAAGCAAAGATCATTTAAGATTCAAGTGTACAACACTGTCAAATTACCAGCAAAAATACTACAAATCATATCTGGCTCAAATATTACATTAAACCTTAAACTATTTGGCATGCTTTCACAAAAGGGGGAGCTCTCTGCTTTGCTGCTCAAAGAGGAGACTCGGACTAATTTGGGACGGATTAATGGAAGAAGATATCTGTAGTACAAGTTTTCGTCAGAAGAGTGAGAGTAGTGAGGACCACTGGAGGACACTGGAAGAACTGTAAGCAAGCAACGGCTTATAGAGTCTAGATCAGTCTTTCTAGAGTATAAACTGCACATTTTGCATGTGTTGGGGAAAGATACTTTTAAAAGTAATGCTTTACTATATTGAGTTACTCCCTAAAAAGTAACTAATTGTGTTACCTAGTTACTTTTAATGGAAAGTAATGCATTACGTTACTTTTGCGCTATGTTTTCCTCATCTGGGCTGAGCTTGCTTGTTTGATTTAAATATAAAAAAAGTTATATTTCTGGCAAAAGTAAAACCTCTTTCACACCAAAAGTGACAGGATTAAGCCTCAGGCTGAAGGAAGTGTAAATTTACGTCTGCACACTTCTGGATTGATTGGTTGGTTGATTGACTGATTGGTTGGTTGATTGATTGATTGATTGATTGATTGATTGATTGATTGATTAATTGATTGGTTGGTTGGTTGGTTGGTTGATTGGTTGGTTGATTGGTTGATTGATTGATTGATTGATTGATTGATTGATTGATTGGTTGATTGGTTGATTGATTGATTGTCATTGGTAAATAAAATGTGATTAAATGCATATTACATATAATACATAAGGATATCCCATCCTCGTCGAAAAATGCATCTTTTAGGGCAGTCGTGGCTTAATGGTTAGAGAATCAGACTTTTAATCCGAAGGTTGCAGGTTTGAGTCTCAGTGCCGGCAAGGATTTCGAAAAGATATTTTCTTGTAAATTAAAAAGTAATGCGTTACTTTACTAGTTACTTGGAAAAGTAATCTGAGACCCCCAACACAGCTCCTTAATCAATCACCATTACTATCAGACACTCGAAGGCTTTTACTCAAGTGGTATTGGAATTGGTGACTTGTAAGTCTTTGAGGTATCTCTGCTTTTACTTGAGTAAAGTTCTCAGTTACTCTTTACGCATCTGGGAAACGATAACAGACAATATAAGGGGCTGAGAAGTACCAGTGTAGACCTGACAATGGGGGAAACATCCTGGATAGGCCATCAGCATTGCCATTTGCTGTCACTGCCCAGTTACCCAACAGGTAATACCTCGACTCCAGGACAGGACACTTAATGGTCAGTGCATCTTTCTATAGAGGGTATGCACGTGACGTCACCGTCAGCTGGAGTGCCACTGAGTGGCAAAAAGACTGAATAGCAGCATTGGTTTTCAGCGTGAATGCTGCGACAGAACACACAAAACACATCTAAAAGGAAAAGAGCTTTGAGATTGACTGTACAAATAGATTTGACAAGAAATCTGCCGAAAGCTAGAGAAGAGAGAAGCAAAAGAATTGCTGCAATTCACAGAAACAAATGGACTCCAGGCAGCGAAACACAGATTTGCAGTATCATGCAATGTCAATATGGCATTCAAATATATGACTAGTGCTTGCCGAAGCAGTTGCAGCTTGCTTCAGAAACCCTCCACCTTCCCCAGCTCCACCTGTATAGATCTGCTATGAGGTGATTCATATGGGGGTTATTTCAAGTATGTTATATTTGCAGCAGCAATATTTCTTACATGCTCACAGCAGCATGTTGTGGATGTATTGGCAGTAGCAGCAGCAGCAGCGTAGCAGATCTATTCTGCGAAGACCAAATACATTAACATTGTCATGTACATTACCATGCAAATCACTGAGAGTTGTCATGACAGAACTGCATTTATTTGGTTTGGGGTCAGTTGGATTGGATTAAATTAGAAAGAAAAAAAAAACAGAGGCATTTTTATTGTATATTTTCATGAGGTTATTCACTAACAAATACAGCATGGGATGAGTGATGTAACCATCCTACAACAAAAAGGGCACCAAAATTGTGATTAAGA